AGCTAAAATCGTTACGAAGTATAAAAACAGGAATTATATTCGTACCGGTTGTGGTAACGAAATTTTCAGTGAAAAAAAAAAAAAAAAAATCGCACATCGATATAAAGAGAAGATCTCGATCCTCAAGATCTAGTGACGAGAAAAATTTTTCGATGACTGTTTGAAACTGTTTAAATTGATAACAAGAGTATCCTCGTTACGGCGTAAAACTATTGTTGGAGAGAAAGAAAAAAAAAAAGAAAAAAAGAAAACAAAGAATTACTAATCAAAAATAAAATAAAAAAATTACTGATTAAAAATGAAATACTAGTTAAAATTAAAATATTAACTAAAATTAAAAATAAAAAATACTAAACTAAAGTAGAAGTTTCGCGATGACTTTTTTCCATCAGAGTTTAAAGTATCGATCGAGTGTTCCATCGAGAGCGTGCGAGTACTCTTCGTTCGAAAATCCGAAAAGCGACGTTGACATCGTCGACAGAACTAAAAATTGCCAAAGTGTAGAGTATCGGTACTCGAAAACGTGCCCCTTTAATAATTCCACGTGTTTGAGGGATCAAACCGCCGAAAGCGGAGGTCGGCGTCTCGTGGAAACGCGGAGAAATTCCCGCGGACAACAAGCCCCTGGACAACGGAAGACGGAATATCGAGTTTACGGGGAACTTGGTTGGAATATCGTTCGACTCGAACGAGCACGAGTCCAGTCTCTCTTCTCCTCTTTCCCGGCCAACTGACGGCGAACATTCCGGCGAAACAGACGGAACGAAACGAATCGGACGACGAGAAAAGATAAAAAACAGAAAAAAAAAAAAAAAAAGAAGAAGAAGAAGCGAGTCGTCGTCGCTGCGTAAAGACGGCGACGAGAGATAGCTTTCAAAGGGAGAGAATTAACTCGCGATTATTCGGAGTCCTCGCGGGAAGAAACGGGAAGGATAACGCGAGTGTACGGGAACAGTCGATGTGAAAATAATATCGTTCAAATACACGGACGACGAATGATCCAACGTACCGTGAAAATTAACCCTTTAAGGTACAATATCGTGCTACCCGAGTGGCTTCGATTTGAAAGAAACAGCAAACTGCTGCGGCAACTTTGAGTTTGAATTTTCAGTTTTCGTTCTTTGAAATGAAGGTTAATACAAATTGTGCGCTACATACTCATGTATAACTGTACTGTATACTTATATATAATGTGTACTATATATGTGTACAGTACTATGTATGTATCTAGTACACATTATATAATAAATATTTTGTACTATATACTTATATATAACTGTACTATAAAATTATACACTATATATATTTATAAGTATATACTCATATACTATATAACTGTACTATAATAATATACAAATATACTGTAATATAATTTGTATAATAATATAAAAATATACTGTATTATAATTTGTACAATAATATACAAATATACTGTACTATAATTTGTACAATAATATACAAATATACTGTACTATAATTTGTATAATAATATAAAAATATACTGTACTACAATTTGTATAATAATAAAAAAATATACTGTACTATAATTTGTATAATAATGTAAAAATATACTATAATTATAGTATATAATAGTACATTATTATATTATTAGCATATTATTATTATAATATATAATTACAGAATAATTATATTATACTATAATTATATTCTGTACTATAATTATTACCATATAAAATTTAATTTTACTGTATAAAATGTTTGTTACAGGTTCACTGAAGTATGGGAAGGCAAAGCAATTAATTTGAATGATTTAAAGCACGAAAAATACATTTCTCAATTTTCCGAATAATTTCCTGACCCTCTATCCATTTCAAGACCGGTAACAATAGCTCCAATATAAGAGACGAGAAAACGCGAACCGCTGTTTACACGAAGTTTCTCCGGCCTCCGAGAAGTTTTTCATTAAAATCGAAAGCACTC